CCCTGGGCCCTAGAGTCCTCTTGTCTCTGGCTCCCCAGCAGTAGAATTGCAAGCAAGTTCTAACATATCCAAATTTTAGTTAGGTTCTGCGGATCAGACTCAGGTTTTTATTCACTTTACCACCCATGCCCCTCAGTGAGACCACCTTTTTAATTTATTTTATCCATAATTTGAACTTCCAAGTTCTAATCCTGATTGGAATATATTCAAGAAGTTTTCTGATGTTTTTGTGCTGTCCTCAGGCTATGCCAATGAAAACTGTCAACATAATGCATCATTATCAATGGCTTATTACATAGGCAGAAGATAGCCACCACAAGCAAATGATAAAAAGATGGAGCTTTTCAATGCTACATTAAAGAAAAATGACTATCAAAGAAAATTTATGGATTTTATTTTTTACATGTACACTGTTTTTTTTATTCTATAAAGCATTTTTCCATATATAATCTAATTGGGTTATAATATAATCCTTTGAGTTTAGTTAATCCGTATTACAAATTAGCCAAATGTTTTTCAAATGATATAAGATAGTTTTATCACTACAGCATTTAATAGAATAAGTATCACTAGGATCAGAATTCACTAAGTTTAACAATGATTTCTCTTTATTTAAATTTAGCTGTATCATATATATTATAGACTTGAAATATCTTTTATTTAGAAGATCTGTTGTATGTGACTGGAGAGATGACGTAGTGGTAAAGAGCATTCTGCTTTTATGGAGGACCCTGTTCAACTCCTTCAGTTCCCAGCACAGCACTAACATTGGACAGCCAACAACCTCTTCTAATGCCAGCCCTTGAGGAATCTAACAGACTCTTCTCATCTATCCTGTTTGGATCACATGTCTGCGTATAATTTTTAATTTTTTATCTAAGCACTAATGTTAATTTTTAGGTTAAACATGCTCCTGTTTTAGGTCAGTAAGACTTCTATTGAATACTTTGGCTTCTGATAGAAATTTACTAAAACTGCCTAGAAAAGTTTATATTTTTATAAAAATGTATTTACTTATAAATGGAAAGTACTGTATTCTGTAGAATACTTTTGAGCCCTTTTCCCCCACCTACTTTGCCATTTTAGTAATAGTTTTCATTCAAACATCCTTTCTTTAGCTCGGAAAGAGCAGTTTAGTTGTAATAATAAAAGACATTACAGAGCAACGTGCACACACGCACACAGACACACACACACACAGACACACAAGAGAGAATGTGTAGTTCAAACCCAAAGGGAATGGTTATGAAAATAACAACTGCGTTAGATTTTATTAGCAGGAAAGAAAACATTTTAAAAGTAGGGGACCATTATTTTTTTTTAAACAACATTGTTCCTTAGGATATCCTGCTAAATTGTTCTGTGTGATAAGATTGAAGAGGAAAGAGACTTGTCTTTCAGAGACATCAATCTTCCTGATGGTGGCTTAGTAAAAAGTGACTTAATGTGCTAGTAGCATCCTGAGTTCAGGTGATAAGGAAGAACAAAATACGATGTCCTCATCCTTTGTTATGCAACTGAAATGTTTTGTCTTTTCCATTTGTACTTTAAATTTCTATGATCTTGATTAAATAATGGGGAAATTGTCAGCATATTTACTGTGTAATTATTCAGATTTCAATCAGTAATTTTTCTGGGCATTAAGATGAAATTACTTATTAAACTGTAGCATGTGCCATTCCATTTTCCTTCAGGAATTACTACAGTTCCTTGCAACTAAATTAAAGTAGAATAATGCTGAAAAGTTAATAACTTCTTTTTAGAATTTAAATATAACAACTTAATAGGTAACTAGCATGCTGGTTTCATCTGGCATGTGTTGAGTACCTAACTGTGCTCTGTGGCTGCAGTGTTTTAGTTCCTGCCTCTGGTCACATCGCCTCCCTTTTACAGTCTCTCTCTCTCTCTCTCTCTCTCTCTCTCTCTCTCTCTCTCTCCCTCTCCCCCCCCCCTTGCGGTCGCTGTGTGTGTTTGTGTGTCTTGTGTGTGTGTTTACAAATATCCGTCTGCCTTTTTCTCATGAGAACACATTCCATGAGAACTTTGGTCTCATTTTACACTGGAATAACCTCATGTTAACTTTGTGTCATAAATCTTTGAAACAATCCCCTTTCATAAAATAGCATTACAATATGGCCATGTATTTGGTGATCACCATTTAAGCCACTCTGGGAATAAATTGGAGTTCCTTGCACAACTCTACCAATTTCTGTTCAGTGATAATCAGATACTGAAACCTGATGTCATATGGCACAATACAAAAATCCCCAAATCTGACTAGATAATTGTCTTCAGAAGACAGTTTCTCAAACCCTTTGCAGGTAAATCAGGTGGAAATCAGATGTGTGAGTGTGTGCTGCTTCTTCCTTCACACTTTGAAGTCCATGGAGATTGTGTAATGCCCAGATTCTGACACTGTCTCGCCTCAAAATTTTGCCTTAATATTCCAAGAATATTTCAAGGATAACAAAGTCACTTCATTTAAAAAGTAAATATGATTAAAGCTTAGTTTTAGAATCCATGCAGGAGGAAATAAAGTAGACTTTTATGTTGTTGATTGCTGAGAGGTGACAGTGTCTTCTCAGATAAGAGCATATTGAGGTCCAAATAAATATTTTTTTCATTTATTTGATCTTTTAGCTTTCTTTTTCTTAATAAAAGGGGAGGTTGTAGTTAACATTTCTGTGAATTTCCTTTTCTTTTCATTTTAAGGTGTTGTGACCCAGATTTATAGCAAATGATGGTCTGTTCTCATACATGATGTTAGATGCAATGAGAAAAGAATATATATGCACTCACAGGCTTGTGCATACACACAGAAGAGTGTTAATCATTGCCTGGATGAGCAGTGGCTAATGAAATAACAATAGGAGGTAAAGTGCTTTACCAGCTATAGGAATTAGTTAGTTATCACCTGGAATCGGTCACTCTGGTCTACATCAGTTTTACAATGCTTTTACCCTGGTACATTTTTTTCCACCGCTATTATTGTGTGCATTATTTCAACAATTAACAGTGCATGAATGTAGGCATGATAGTGATTTAATGATTTGTTTCTCACCTGCCAAGCATAGTCAACCATCAATGCACTGAAGTTAAAATAAATAATTATTTAGTGATCAAAGATATGCTCAAATGTGTTCATAAATACATTTGGTTCTCATTTTTTTTTGCAGAGTCTTTCAAAATTACGAAGTCACAAATGTTAAGGTGAATGCATGCTCAGATGATCATTAGGTTCTATCCCTTTATTCAAAAGACAAGCAATTATTATCTCCATGATCTATTAAGGTGTATTTTCTTTACCATGTGACAGCTAAGGTGAAACCGATCAAAAAATATTGCTCTCCTTTCTTAAACAATGACACATGCACGCAGATGTTTAACAAGTGCCTTTCCAGAGCTCTTATGAGAAAACAGTAGCAGCCTTGGTCTAGAGAAGTAATTTATGACAGTGTGGTAAATGGTGTCCAAAATTACCTTGCTCATATTAGCCCTGCTGCAGCCCTACCTGAGCCCTGAAGCGTTTCTCCACCCCACGTGAAAGCTGTGATAAAATACAGCATTATGAGTCCTGGCTTAGTTGCTTTCTGTTTCTTCTAGTACATGCTGCTTGAACTCATCCGTCAGCGATTTCACAGAGGCAGTGGAAGGAGAAATCACAGGAGAGTGTGACAGGAGGATAGTGAATAGAACATCTTTTGTCTCTTACCTCTCTCCCCACCTTTTCTTCCTGTTTACTTAATTGACTAAAAATGGGGAAGGTGAGGGATACGATTTAGCAGGTTCTGACATTAGTGACTATAGGCGTGGCGCTTTCCATACTATTTCCACACTAGACAGGCATGATTGAAAAATGTGTGTGTGTGTGTGTGTGTTTAAGTGTTATATTTTAAAATAAAGGAATGACTGAGAACAGTGGAGTCAAATTATAAACAAAAATCAAGTATGCTGAAAATTTTAGCCTCTTGTAGAACTGAGAGATACTATAAGAAGTAATCAAATACATTGTACTGATGAATTTTCCTGGGGTGAAATACGAAAAATATTTATAAAATAGAGAGTACTAGCCTGAGTAACATTATCTGTGAATAAGCCACAACTTGCTTCCATTTCATTGAAAAGTATGCAAATGTTTAAAGAGTTTGTAGTTAAATGAAAACTTTTTACAATGAAAGGAAAGGGTGCTTGTGTTCGGACATTAAGTGGCTTAACTGTTGAAGAGTGTAGAATCAATGAAATAAATAATAACTTACCTGAAAGGGGTAATATGATTTCCATAAGGCTGTGATGGAAGTTACATTTTTAATGTTTATTTCTTCACTTCCCATTTTATGTGTGAAAGCTTTAGATGTTTAAGTATTTAAAATTAGATTTTTTGCTAATGAGAGTGATTATTTTAATTGCAATTTAGAAACAATGTCCTTGGATTCTAGTCTTTCCCTTTAGATGTTACAAAAGGAAAAGAAAAAAAAATGAAAGACAAGAAAAAAAGGGGGGATTTCACTTGTAGATTCTTTGTTAAGCTTATTAAGACTACATTTGAATGAACCATCAATATAAAGGAAGGGTTAATTGAGAAAGAAACATCCTGATATACAAAACATTTCTCTTATAGAAAGCTTTAGAAATACTCTATTGTCAATCCAAACAGAACAAACTAAAATGAGATAATTGGGAAGGTGCCCATAAAGTCAGCCTGAATATATTATCACAACTATATATGAGATAATATTTGTTTTAAAAAGATTCTATGGCACTGTAAACTCAGTCTCATTAGAGACTGCATTTAAAAGGCTTATAAAGTTACTCATTAATGTTATCTTGTTGTATCTCCACAGCTTTTTCATTAAAGAAAATTCAGCAGAAAGCATTTTCTCCTGATAGCAGGAACCAATTTGCAATAAATGTTCTGGAAACCACTAGGGAAGCCATTACTGAGGTCTAATAAAAACAGACAAGCGTAACTTGTTCTATATTTTTGTTTCAATCACATACAGATGAGACCCCGCTTTCTACACCAACCGCAAGAGACAGCATCGACAAACTTTCTCTAACCGGGCATGGGCAACCACTACCTCCAGGCTTCCCGTCTCCCTTCTTGTTTCCCGATGGCCTATCTTCCATAGAGACCCTTCTCACTAACATACAGGTATGACTCTTTTCACTCTGCAAGGAAGGAGCACGGAACACATACAGGTGAACTGCTTTTCGAAAAGAAACCCATTTCAAATAATTATCTCGTGATATTGGCTGATCCAGAGGATTAGACATTTCTCCAGAAAATTACCTTTTAACTTTACTACACTAACCAAATTGTTGTAGAAATGCTCAACAAATAATTTGTATTTCACCATATTAAAAATAAACAAAACTGGTGTAAGCATTTATGAAAAACACTCCCCCCTAAATGTTCTCTTTATTGCCAAATAATGGGACCAATTTAAGTGTGTAAATTTGTCTGGTTTATCAAATGACAGCATGCAAGTTCTAATAAATATTTAGATATTTTTAAACTGCTGGCTTTCCAGTGAGGAAATGATATGTTTATTCATTTTAAATATGTCTAATAAAGAAGAATCCAAAAGAATTTCTTTTTTCATAAATAAGTTTCTTTCATCAAGTAGGGACTCTTCAAAGAATAGACTTCAAAAAGCCATAGAAAAGTTTCCGCAGATTTCCTATGTGTCCCTCAGGATGTATATCTTACTTACAGTACATTATGAATCAAAAATACTTAGAGTTAACAATAACATAGTGCAAGGAGCCAAGATAATAAAAGTGTTTGGGATAGAAGAAAGCATAGTTGTCCTGCCATGCATGGAGGGATCATGTGGGCACCAGATGGAACATTTCCTTCTTCTTCTCAGGAGGAGCCAGAAGGAGACATGGATACAGATGCTGTTAGCCCAGCACTCCGTCCTCACTTATATTTTCTAAACACATTTCCTACCATATTAAACTTTGCCCTAGCTGAAATGTAATTCATTTTATTTACCTCTCCAAGGATATAACAGGAGGTCTTTAATGTAACATATCTTCTCATCTATTAATACGGCTTTTTAAATACAAACGTAATTAGAATTGCTAGAACTGTATTCAACATTAAGGTTTTGTATTTTATTAACTGAAATAAGTAGTCAGTCCAGTCTCATTTCAATCCTGACCAGATTACAGCCAAAAGTAAACATAGGAGTTTTCCCCCCAAATTTTACATATATTGCAAGGTACAGATCATCGTGAATTTCACGCTTGTTGAGAAAAATGCTTTTGAAAAGCAGGGAAATAGCACAACTGGTCTGGTTCTAAGAGATTAAGAGTTTATCAAAGGCTCAGCCCTAATTGAGATATCTGTATCATATCTCTTCCCATCAAGTCTTAGGGACCTTTGTGGAAAAGGAGCTTAGAGGTAGTAAGGGCCAGAGATAACTGATGACTGCCAGGAAACAGTGTTTTCAAAACAAGGTAGTCAGGGTTCTGTACCCTGTGGAAAGTCCAAAGTCCTCCCCCCCTCCATCCTGGTCTAGGAAGGTGAACATCCAAACTGGCTAGGCTCCCACAAAGCCAGAACCTGAAGTAGGATCAAAACCCAGTGCCATTGTCCTTGGCTTCTCAGCAGCCCTCATTGTCCGCCATATTCAGAGTGTCCGGTTTTATCCCATGCTTTTTCAGTCACGGGGAGGAGGCAGAATTTTTTTTTCAATAAAAAAAAAAAAAGAAAAAAGAAAAAAAATCAAGGTAGTGAGGCTACACATATGAGTTCACAGCGGACTAGACAACTTGCTCACAATCTATTCAAGCTCAAGGCAAACAAAAATCTCAGCATAGAAAGAGAAGTGGGTGCAGAGTCTCCTCCTCACTGAAGAACTATGTCTGTTAGTAGATCCAGGAATAAACGGGACAACCCTGCTAAATCGATGATGACCCAGTTAAGAACGCATATCCAAGAGTATATAAGCAAAGGACTCGTGATTGATAAGGAGATGGGGACAGATAGAAAGAGAGAGACACAGAGACACGAAGCGAAACAAAAGGAGAGGGAAACAGAGAAACATAGATAGTAAATGAGGAAAGATAAAGTTAGGTGTGTATATAAACGAGTAGGTCTGGGAAGAGTGAGAAAAGGAGGTGGATATGATTAAAATACATCCAAAATTCTCAAGGAACTAATAAAAATAAGAAATTAGAAAGGTTCATATTATTCTACGTAAAACTCCATATAAAATTGTCTTAGAAATTTATAATCAGACTAATGGTATTTTGACTTGAATTTCCACATAAAAATACTCTAGTTTTTTCATTTTTATTTCTATTTTTTTTTTTTTACTAGAAATCAGCTCACCCAGCAGAAGAAAGAATGGTTGTACACTGGGCCTGAGAACTGGGCTGACATTCATAGTTCTATGTCAAATATTGACAGTTTGGGAGTCTTACATTTACTCTCTGCTTGGAGTACTTAGACTAGGCATGATATCCCCATCATTGCAAACTAAGTATTTCTTTTAGAAAGAAAAAATTTTAGACAAGTTTTCTATTTATTTAACCTACTCTAGATCTGGTCTCCTTCCCAAATATATACACCAAGGGTATATCTTAGAAGAGTTAATGGTACATTGATAAGCAAAGCAAATTAAATTATTGATTTTAAGGTCTTATTGATTGGAATCTGGTTCTAATAGTGTTAGACCATCAATAAAAAATTCAACATTTAAGAATTATACTTGTTTACATCAATTTTATACATATGCATATATGTGTAAACATAGGTGTTATATAACTGTGAATATTAAACATTTCCTTTAATACACATGCATGCACATATGTATACTTAAAAGAGACTAAGATTAAGAAAATAACTGAGTCCCTTAGAGCTATATGTATACAAATACATATTGACAATCATAAATATACTGAATTTTTGGTGATTTCACAATAGTTTGTAAAATGCCATAGATGTTAAATCTTATTATTTCCACATTTATTGAGTTGTGATTATATCTAAGAAATCTTATAGACTGCTTAAATAGTCATGACCCTGGCTTATTAGGCATAGAGTACAAATGTGTTTGCTGTCTAAATTTTAATTTAGGTAATTATAATCTGCCTACATCGATTTCACCTGTAATTGTAAGTATGTATATTTGGGTTCTCTGCTTTCTCTGTGAAAACTGTAGCATACTCATGTAATCATTTTAAAACTATATGGTTACTTTGAAAATAATTTGTTGCAATTAATATTCATTTCCCCAAATCCTTCAAGATATTTACTACATTATTGTTTTAAAAACAAATTATTTCGTAATATAGTATTGGTTGATAATTTTTAATAACTAGATTTGTGGTGACTGCTATAAATATTTCCTACACAAATCCTTTTTAAAAAATTATTCTCATAATTGCTATCATAAAACTTATGGAAAATATTACATTTATATCCAAAAAATTAAGCATTAGTTTAAAAAGTAATTTTATTAATATTTTGAGGATGTCAAACCTAGAAGAATTATGGAGTTTCCTTCATGTTACTTGAATAGTTTAAATTGATTTAAATTAAATTAAATTGATTAAAATTTAAATTAAATTGATAATGAAAACATCTGGAATAAATAACAGTAATTAATTTTCAGGGGCAATAAAATTTCATTCCATTTTTTTGTTCCTAGAACGTGTGTTTTTGCATGGCATTTTGTTGTATTCAGTATGGAAGTATTTCGCCATAGCCTCCACCTTCAATGATGTCCTTGGAAAGGTCACTGGGCAGTTAAATGTGAGGAAATGTTTTAGGGTCAAATATTTGGAAGTGACACCTTCGAATATTGGTTGCCAATAGATTACATTCAAAACAGGGTTCTACTCACTGGTTGCAACTGGTTCTTACATCCTAAATCACAAAAAACAATAGCTTTCAGAACTGACAGCATCACACTTGTTTGTGTTTATCCTAGAGCCAGTATATACAGCAAAAGAGCAAATTCACTGTAAAATGAATAGAACTGATTCTAGTGAGGCAACTCAGTGGGTAAGGACATTCGTGGCTTACAAATAGTAGAGTAAGAGTAAATCAATAAGTAAAAGTTGAAAGAAAAAAGAACATATATGGTAAATTTACAGACAGATCTCTGGCGTCAAGGATATTCTGGTCTACATAGTGAGTTCCAGAACAGCCAGGGCTATACAGAGAAATCCGATGTCTGCCTAAAACTGAAAACAAACAGTCACGGATGAGTGGATGAGTTGGGGTGGGGTTGCTAGGAAGAGTAGAAGGAGGAGAAGATTTGGTCATAACAGATCTAAAAGTAAGAAAATAAATTTTAAAAAGAAGCTACACAAACAAGTACACAAAGCGTAGTGGTGGTCGGACTCACTGATTATAAAATATGAACAGATAGTGTCAATTATGCATGAAACTATCCTGAAAGATCTTACAATAGAGGATATGTAATAGGACGTGGGTTCATTGTGATTTGTGTGCGAAGTGAAGTGGCATTGGTTCAGCAGTAGAAAGTCAGCATATCTAGAATATTCAGGGCCTTATGTTCAATATTTCAGTCTTGCTAAAAATATTGCAACTAAATCATAAGTTAAAAAATGTAAGAAAACCTAAAAGAGATAGTAAAAAATACAAAAGGACAATACCTTGTTGAGTATGGTGTAATAAGTAAAAATAATTCAACTATGGCATTTGAGATGTAGTTTTCATTTGTTTGAGAGGAAATACAAAATCTGCCTCAGTATTGAGACTAAAACCTCTCCCTGCCCATCCTCAAACCTGCATCACAATGTCCCTGCCAAATGTCTTACTCTACTTTTCAGACACTGTGAAAGAAATGAGCTTTTTGCTCATTTGTATTATTGGCATAAAATTTAAAATTATCTAGAAAATCACATTGGATTCAAAACATACATAGGTTTTTTTGCATATATTGTTATTATATTGCATGCTCTATTCTTGATTGCTATTATATAATATGACTTGGGTGTTTTCTTTGTGTTCCCATAAAAGTTTGTTAAAAAAAAAACACTAAGGAGCAAAATACTAAACTATACCTAGGATTCTAAACTCAGCTAAGTGTGATGATAAAAGCAATGATAGTTTCATGCAGAGGCACCTGTGTCTGCAATCTTATGAGGAGGCTTATCCTCTGGAAAAAATAAAAAAAAATATTTCAGCTGATAAGAATTTGTGTGTGATTAGAGACATCATGCTTCATTGAAAACAAATCTGAGCATGAACACAATAAACCATTGTCTTTTTTTTTTAACCATGGCTGTGCTCAGAATAAATAACTGTATTTCTTTAGAGAGATTACCCAACATCAGTGTTGTGAGATCTGAAAACACCTTAGAGGGGGAAAAACCCCAAAAATCGGTGATTGAAACTTTTGCCTCTTAACTGTAATCCAAAATGTTGTCATGGCACTGTGCAGATAAAGTCCTTCTGAGCACAACCACATAATTGCTGTGATCTTTTGCACCGTGCATACATGGAAAATTAACAGACGTTACACAAATATGGGAGTACTGTGACTTACAGCTAAAAGAAGTCTTCGTGATGCTGTGGACAGTTCTTGTTGTTGCTTTTACCCAGCCTCTGGCTGCGCTAAATTTAAATGGATGTTCTGTATTCATTTTATTTATTGTTGTATGTCACTGCCAATAACATACATAAGACACACATAACATACATAACATATGTATCTCTTGTTCTAGTTGGGACCTTTGTTCACACTGGTATCTTAGCAGACTGCATTGATTTACGTCTAAATTTTAAGTTTAATTCTATATAGCGCATGCTAACGTTAATGTTTTTCAGACATAATCAGCAGGAATATACAATTCAACATCATTAACTACATTACCAATAATTGCAACAAAAGGAGAGAGTAAATGTCAATTCTTCCAGCAACTTCATCATTTACAAACTGTTATTAATAATAAAATGACACAGTTTAGAGTCAGATCTTAATATTATTCAACATGTTTGTTCTTAATGATTGTTCCATATTTAAGAACCCCAAAATGTTATGTTTTGTCACCCAAGGACAATAATAGTTTAATAGTAATTTATTTTACACAGCTACTGATAATACAACCAATCAACACATTAAGTGGTGCCAACATTGGCATCTTGCTAAATAATCTCTAGGCATTGCACAGACAGTACATCTTTCAAAGATAAGTCAACAAGAGCAATCAGAGCAGAAAATTAGAATTTGGTATCTTAGAATTAAAATACAGCTAAACTAAAGTTTTAATTGGGGTGATCTGAAAGGGCACTTGATGTAATGATCTCTTTCATTTGTTACTAATTGTTTGTTCCTGATGCAGAAGAAACATATACAGGAATGTTGCTGAATTTTGTTAAGATGGCAGTTTGCTTTAGAAGCGGGGTTTTATTACTAAACAACAAAAGAGTGGGGAAGGGAGAGCTGCCGCACAGAAATCCTTATCTTGCATGTTTTCTATCACAAGAATTATGCCTGAAAATTTTGGATCAGATAAAGCACAAATAAAATTATATATATACGTGTGTGTGTGTGTGTGTGTGTATATATGTATGTATGTATATATATATATATATATATATATATATGAAAAGATAAAGATAATAAAATGGCCCATGACAGTGTTATTAGTTATGCTGTTCTGCTGGAGACAGACTACCTCTTTTCAGTTGTGCTTCACATCAATCTAGAGTTGGAATTTTTGAGTCATTGCATCCACATTGACTTTTTAAAAGGGTCGCCTTCCTGAGCACCTCTAGCACTGGCATTAAATTCCACTCCTCACAAAATTCCAATGGCAAATTTCAGACTGACACCTTCATAAACTATGACAAAATGATTTACATTTCAAATACAACATTTTGTATTGCTGAACTTATGGTGAAAGAATTTTTAACTTGGCTTTTCAGTGATATCTTTGGTCCTGAGCATCTTCTCTGGCAAAATCCATGATACTTTTTTTGTAAGCATACTATGTGCTCATGGTTTATTTTCAAAATCTGAAGAAACTCCAAAATTTTATGAAAATTATAAATGAAGAGAAAGTTCTTATCTCTAAAATCATTTGTAAGAATAAGTAAGTTAATTTTTCTAAAGCTTTTGAATTACTAGCCTGTGAGATGTCTTCTTAAATGTTATTCCCAGATTATTACAATTCTTTGAATGACATCATAAAATAATTTATTACTAATATATTATTCTAGATGCTTTAAATATGTTATGTATCTCAAGTATATATGAGTGGGTAATTTTAATTTCTCAGTATGTAAACATTTTAGAATTAATGGCATGGTTTGGATAAGGGGTGCTTAATAATAACAAATCTTCCTACTTTTGTCAAAAAACTTCATTACAGTGGGAGATGCATGATATAAGCCAGGTAATGCATTGATATCTAATAACATTATTTAACAGCGAATGTAATGACAATGGTTAAGAAAATCTAACAGTATCATCTACATGTAGGGATATTTCTGATTAGATGGTCAGCGAAATCACCTCATGAATGATTACTTTGGGCCATATGAAGGGAAATGAGGTTGTGAGCCAAGGAACCTACATAGGTTGAAAGAGCAAACTTCCTTCAGCAGACATAGATAGCTGATTGGAAGCACACCTAAGACAGCTGTAGTAAGTGTAACCTTGCATGGATGGATGTATGACGTTGAGGACAATGACAGCTTACCAGGATCACATAGACCATGTTAGATGGTTCTTTGTAGAACTGCCCATTTCCTTTGTCCGTTTGTATTTCATAGGATGCTTTTGTGTGACTCTCACTGAAATTTAGCTAGCTAGTCTAATGTGAAGCAATAGAACCTACAGGCCAGAAGTATTTGTCTTTCTCAAAGAGTTTGGTAAGATGGAGAAGTTGTGTGCTTTAGTTATGGCATTTCTGAGTCCTGGATGGTTTCACAGGAATTAGAGAATTTGATAAGTGAGCTCTTCTCATCAAAAATACATTTCAGTAGTGAACAAAATGTGTTTTGTACCAAAGTATCCTCATGCTGAATACCTTCTTTGTACAGGGCCTTTTGAAAGTTGCCATAGATAATGCCAGAGCTCAAGAAAAACAGGTCCAACTGGAAAAAACAGAACTGAAGATGGATTTTTTGAGGGAAAGAGAGCTAAGAGAGACACTGGAGAAGCAGTTGGCCATGGAACAAAAAAACAGAGGTATCTGTGAAAATCCACGGAGGTCTAATATTTAAGTGAATCGGTCAATAAAATAATATTGTTCTGCTGGTGATATACTTTCATTTTTGCTACTTTGCCTGTAGCTGAACTTAGAACAGACTTGAATCATGAGTTTATTGTATTTCTAAATGTTTGACGAGCACATTCGCTTCTGTTTTCTACCTCAGGGAAATAGATATATCTATTATATCATTGATCATGTAATTTTCATTACTTATAAAGTTTAATGAATTATGTTTATAATGATAAGATGAGAAACATGATGAAGAATATTGCACTCACTCACAATTGTCCTTTGAAAACCTCAAAAGTTAAAGATATAAAGCTAAACTAGAAAAGACTGATTATTCAAGCAAAGCAGGTTTGGTAAGATATTTATCAACTGAAATGGAAGCTTGATGAATATCTGAGCAAATAACCGGAGTTAAGTGTTTGTATAATTTTCCTTCTGAATGCTTCATGTTCATTCAACAAGGTCAAGTCCATAACGTACTTACTAAAATGAATTCTTATTGGATAAAAATAATGGTATTATTGATCTCCAAATTGCTTCTTTTAAAATATTATACTGGTCATCAATAGATAATTTTGAAGGTCAATAATATTTGTGTATTTATTTTATGCATGAATTTTAAGGCTACTACCAACCCCTCCTTTGCTTCAGCTACATGATTTCACAAGAACTGTAAAAAAGGGGGATTTAATTTTTTTTAATTTTGTAAGTATTTCATATAAATTCTTCAACTGCCTGTCTTTCATATTTGATGTGTTCATTTAAAGATTATTGTGTCTGTTTTAGGATTTTCCAGGTTGCTTCAGTATATATAATGAATCAGTGCCTAGTGAGTTTCTGGATTCAGCTTTGTTTGAGGCACTGTCACACAGCATATACGGTTTTTAATAATATGAATTTGTATAGGTTTAAGAATTAAAATAATTCAACCGTGGTAAACATTGGTGACAGATGAGTTCAAAATGAATGAGGAAGTTTGAGAAGCGAGTTGAATCTGTGAAAGCACCTTTTATGACATAGCCATGGTTCTATTTTGTTCTAGTCTGAAGAAGACACATAAAAGACTAAAAGATATATCTTAGGATTTCTAGAATGATCTTTGGAGTCTAGTGATTCTAATGGCAAAGTTTTCTTCAGTTTTATTCCTCTACCCTCTAAAGAGCAAAGCATGCGCAGACACCTTAAATCCCTCATTTAACTAACTTCCAATAATTATTTGAAAGTTATAGTTATCCGTACTTACCTACTACAAATGCACTTGCTGGAGAAGTGTATTATCCTACTAACAACTCATTCAGTCTCATGTCCTGGAATCACGCAGGAGGAAATTGAGTGGTCAATGGCTGGGTGCTGTGTATCCGGGTATTAGGATTATGATCATGTGCAATTTATAAGCATATTTCAAAACTATAATGTATTTTCACAGATATATATTAAATAACATTTAGAAATTAAAATATAAGATAAGGTTAGAATAATCAATTAAATTTACTCTTAATAAAGAGGACATTAGCATTGATTTCAAATCATTGTCAATTAGTTCACATATAAGAACATAGTCATTGCGCATTGGGGGTAAAATGATTTGAAATATATGATATAGAAACAATAAACTCAACAGGTTAATGGACTGCCATCTAAGTGGGGCTAGTGATGATATATATGGAACATGTAGGGATTAGAAACTGAAATTAATCATTTGCAAAAATATTTTTTTTAAATTTATATTCTGATGAAATATCAAATTAAGTAAAACCATTGTTATTTTTTGGGTAGCAAGAAATTTGGAGTGGTTGCTCTTTATAAGTAAAAAAAATTGAATTTTGGAATACTGCTGTTGTTAAATATGTATTATCCAGAAAGATAATTTCAAAGAACTTACATTTGCTACCACAATACTTACTGCTTTCCATCTTATTCATGTGTAGACCAACTAAAAAGAGTTTAAGTCTATGAATGTACATTTTTATCATGTATATTGTTATTATTATTGATTAACATTGGGCAGCACTATTGGAATCTTCTAATAGAAGAAAATATACCTCACCCAAGTTCTATGTCATGATTTATCTTTTATACAAATTATTGTTATCAGTAGCATGTTATAACTTCAAGTGAGGTTTTTATATTCACTGTAATTCCAGAAAAATGAAACTACAACATGAATTCTTAAAATATCTTATAGTGTTACACATTGTTAGAAAGAAATCATTCTCATAAAAAAATATAATATCATTATTAAAAGAAATTACTGCTTCTGTATATACATAACAAGTATGTTGTTCTTCATATATAAGCAATAGTCCATGTTTTCTAACATCTGAAGGAATAATTATGAAAAATCTAATTGATATTATTTGTTTTTTTCCCACAGCATTTGTGGGGGCACTACCTCCTGAGCCCAGGAGAGATACATACAAAAGCATACACTATTCAGTGTACTCTGCAATGATCTGATTCAAGGACAGAGACTAAGCCACAAACTTCACTTAGCCACTTTATGAATGAACACAAATATTTACTAAAGTCAGAACCCCATTAAATATTTCTCCACTGGACAATTAAAGTCATTCCTGGAATCATTTAAAGCTAGAACAAAGTGTTGACTTTTATTAACGTTTTCTTGGATATTATTTTAAGTGAAGTTGGGTTTGGAGGGTTTCCTACTTGTAGCAGACTACAAGACTTTCTACTTATAAACAGACTCTGTTTATTAAAGAGAACTCAGTACAATAAGGATTATCTGCTGTTTGTAAATCAGCAGCATTAGAAATGGTCTGAAAATTAATCTTCAGATCTCTTTTCTAGCCATCGTCCAAAAGAGGCTAAAGAAGGAAAAGAAAGCAAAGAGAAAACTGCAGGAAGCTCTGGAATTTGAGACCAAACGCCGTGAGCAAGCAGAGCAGACACTGAAACAAGCAGCTTCCGCAGACAGTCTCAGGGTGTTAAATGGTAAGAACATGCATGTTGTTTTTTTTTTTTTTTTTCCCCATAAGCAGCTTTGATTTGTAATAGCAGAGGGACAATGTGGACATGTGCTTGTGGGTGTGTATGCATCGAGGTCTCATGAATCATTCAGCAAATGCTTTATTTCATAGGTGCTCCAACCATTTTGTAATTTATTCTCAGTATCTGGGACCTGACACTGCTTTTCTGCTTAACAAAATCCATTTCTACAGAAAAATGATAAGAGGTTAATCTAAGAACTCCTACTCCAACCTGTCATATGGACATTATTACGCCCCTTATCTAATCACACCTTCTGAAACTTCTGATGGTCACGGTTAGGTCAGACCTTCAAAAGATGACAAAGATACACGTGATTTTAATTCCGCAGGTAGCTCTTGTTTCTCAAGACAACAGGAATCAAATGAAGTATATGTCATTCTTGTGTCTCTGTGTTTTTAGACTCCCTGACCCCAGAGATAGAAGCTGACCGCAGCGGCGGAAGAACAGACGCTGAAAGGACAATACAAGGTAGGAATTCGCAGCGGGCTATAAATCTAGATCTTGCTCTCTGAGTTTTCCCTCAGCTTTAGGCTGCTATTCAAGCATGGAGCCCACCATCTGGGCCACATCAAAACAAGTTCAAACAAGGTCAAGTTCATCTTGCTTGTTCATGTGAATGAATTCATTTTGTGCTGATAGATTTTCTTTAAATTAACAGGTCATTTTCTGTTTATATGATGCAATTAAAAAGGAATAATTAATTTTAAACAATGTATGATTTAATCTTGGACACAGTAAATGTTTTATTGAACATTTGAAGCACTGTCTGATTCTGTCAGGGATTTTAATTTCTACTCTACATAAAGTCATATATTATACAAATAGATTTTAAATTTAAACATGTCTTTTCATTTTTGTGACAGTTACTAGAGGATACATACAAAATAGTCTATCTCAAGGTTAAGAGTTAGTAAGATTATTTAGGTCCTATGTGGATATCCACATGTTATATATACTATAATATATTATTTAGTAATAAAAATCTGCAGAGTAAGATCATACATTGAATAATAAAGAGGTTGTATTAAAGTGTCAGAAAAGCTAGATAGGTATACTGTGGAGCCCTTCTTCCTGAGCAAGAACAAAATCAGAAAGCAACATTACTTCCAGACACCCACTCTATACAACAAATTTGCCAACAACATGAAGAACATTTGTTTTTGATCCAAGTGAAGATGGTTCTTCCAGGGGAAAACTAAAATGATTAATGGCCATAATCTTCCCAACGGCTTTTATTTTACATTTCAAGCCCAATAATTTTTAGGCCATCATTTAATCCTAATTGTTTTACTTACTCAGGCAGCTCCAAAAGTGTCAACCTTGGCTTAATGTAAAAGTAATATACTTGTTTTGTATCATATATGCAATAAATAACTATACAATATTTGAAGAAATATTCCTAGTGATATAACAATGTGTTTTTAACTAATATTTATTTCTTCAGCTGTCATACTAATTAAATAGCAAGACTTATTCATATTAGAAAACATTTTATTTTTAATAATGTAGAATAATAATAAAGGCAGAAGTTTGAAAATTCATGTAATTTTAGATGCAAAATCTCATTTTTAGAAGAATTATAGATTTCAGTAGAGTTATGTCCATTTGGGCGTTCATATAAAAAGAACATATATAGTAAAAATAAAAAGTTACCCTTCCAAAAAAGCCAATCTTCATTATCAGGAAGTGCAAAATATAGGCCCTATTCTCTTTACACCGGAGATTGTACATACACTAATTCAGATAATGTTAAAATCCTTGAAAAAAAGCTCAAGACAGGCCAGATATGTGTACGTACACACACAAAGAGAGAGAGAGAGAGAGAGAGAGAGAGAGAATCTTCCATTTGATCCAAACTGAAACTAAGCAAATATGATAAAGAACATAATCTCTATATGTATTCATTGTTAATATTGAGAACTGATTAAAGAGTTAGTTGAGGTGATGCATTCCTGTGGTCCTTAGCACTTTGGAGACGTGAGCAGAGGATTGCAAGTTGGACACCATCCTGGGATACTGAGTGAAATTCTGTCTCAAAAAATTTTAAATCACACCACAATATGCTTATTATATCTTGTGGAATATATCTGTCAATGTGCACTGAAGAAAGAATTTGGTAATTAATTAAAGTATTGTATTTTTATTTTATATTTTAAAGTTCACATAAACTCAACTCTGTACTTTAATGTAATTAAATTCTTGCTGTAAAAGGCTGAATCTTGACCATTCCAAATTTGTGTTTATTTGATTTACTTATTCTGAAAGAAAAACATTTCATTGTCTTCCTTTTGTTACCAAGAATTATACCAACTGAATAGCATAGTAAACATAACCAAATTATTTCAAGATTTGAGAAGCAAAATGTTAGCAAATAATTTAAAACTAATTTAAATATTATAAGATTATTTTTTAAACAGAAAAATCATTCATTTATATTTCTTCCAATTGTTGTTTTCAAAATGCAGTTTTCACTACAAAACATTTAGTAACATTCATAATTTTGCTTAACGATTTTTCCGAAATATTATTTTTAAAATATTCTCAGATGAAATTTTTATACTTATTAATTGCTTCTTTCTCTCTTTTTTCTTTCTTACTTTCTCTCTAGCTCTCTTTTCCTTCCTCCTTTTTCTTCATCTTTTTCTTCATCTTTTTCTTCATCTTTTTCTTCTTCTTCTTCTTCTTCTTCTTCTTCTTCTTCTTCTTCTTCTTCTTCTTCTTCTTCTTCTCCCTCTTCCTCATCATCCTCTTCTTTCTCTTTCTTGACCAAGCTATCCTGGAACTCACAGAATCTACCTTCCTCAGCCTTCTAAATGCTTGCATTAAAGGAAAGCACCACTATATCATCCCTGTTCTTTTTAAAGTACACATTTATGCATTTTAAATAATGCAAAAAAGTTCCCCCAACTCCATTATGTAAAGTTTTTTTCTTTTCCTTCCTTCCTTCCTTCCTTCCTTCTTTTCTTTCTTTCTTCTCTCTTTCCTCTTTCCTTGCCTTTTTAATGTTTTTTATTTTGTTTTGTTTTTAATGTAAGAATCACTTAACACATTTGCCATGAACAGAGTTTCATTATGTATGATCTAGAGAAATCAAACAATGAAGTGAGTGCTAGTAAAAATCTGTCTAAATGCTGAACAGATAAGGGAAGTAAAGTGTTCAAACTCATTCTCTTTTTGGGAACCAGTCTCCGTTGTGTTTTTTGAGAGTCTCTTCATGTATCAAAAATGAAAACTACAACAAACAATCACATAAACCTTCCTCACATTCTCACCAAGAGTCCCTGAACCCAGCTGTGGTAATAGGCACAGCTGTTTTCTTACTCCCAATCCAACCATAACAGAAATCACTCTCTATTCTGAAATAGAACCATCTTAATTGGAATACAAAAAATGGCCTACAACTTTTACGCTCATAGTGTATTTTTAACATTTTAGCCATAAATAATGCCACACTTGGCATTGGATTTGCTCTCTTCGAAGCTGGGTACTTAAATTCTTCTCATATGTCAGTTACTTGGCATCATATTAGCCCCTCAATTGACTAGACAGTCTCTCACAGGCATTTTGTATAACCAGTTCCAAAAAAACAATAGAAAACAAGAAAATGGGGAAGAACAACACATAATGGTTTAGGAAATATTCCCAAGGAATAATATTCTTTAGTCATTTACCTTTTTCATGGCTAGTCAAATCAATCTGTTATAGTGCACAGGGAAAATTCTTCATTGTTGATATGGCAAATAATTAACTCAAAATTTACAAGTTTCATTGAGAGTCTATGTGGGATAATGCTCTTGTACACTGTAAAGGTTTGTTATTTGTATTATTTTAATAAAATGCTGATTGGCCAGTAGCCAAGCAGGAAGTATAGACCAGATGACCATTCTAAGAGAATTCTGGGAAGAGGATAGGCATAGAGTCAGTCACCCACCAGACACAGAGAAAGCAAGTTGAAAATGCTACACTGAGCAATGCTGCACCAGGCCCCATGGCTGAACAAAGACAAGAATTATTGGTTAGTTTAAGTTGTTAGAGTTAGTTAATAATAAGCCTGAGCTAAAAGGCTAAACGGTTTATAATTAATGTAATCCTCTGTGTGTTTCTTTGGGACTAAATGGCTGCAGGACTGAGCAGGACAGAAACTTCCATCTACCATTCTAAATGCAGAATGAATATCCAAATCTTGTTTCAGTATCTGAATTGCATTCCAATTAGTCTTTCTGTGCTGTGCATTGTGACAGGCATCTCTATTGTAATTTCTGTTAGTTCGAAACACTTACTCTACTTTGCCCTTTTAATAAGGTCTTTTAATGTATAGAGAGAATTCATAGAAACCTTCAGCAAGTAGTTTTTATTGTTCATTCAACAAATACACCACCAAACCTCATTCTTCTTTCACATTGAAACACATGCACACTCTAAATGGGCATAGCTAGATACCGTTATTCACTTAAATCCTGTGCCTGCATTATTCTCTCTCCGTAGCTATCAACATTTTTAATGATTTCATATTATTTAGTTTGAAAGCCGATAGCATCTCCTCAATTCATTTAGATATGTTTTAGCTATATTAGATTATAATACATGATTTTTTTGTATTTGTTGCCTCACAAGAAACTCAAATACAGTGCACGAATCTGCCTCCCTGTAGTCCTTTCATCTATTCTAATCTATTCCTTAATACGCATGGAGGAAGGATTGAGGCTGGCATTCCTTTCTCCAGCATACTTCATTCTCTGCTCAATTGTGTCGCCTACCATTCTATGTATCTAACAGTGAATTTTTTTTTCTCTTTTCCTGGAAGTCACACTGTTGCCCAACTTTCACCAGTCCCAACCACATGGAACACTTTACACCCTCTGCTGTAGACTTAACCATCCTCACCGTCTTAATTTAAAAGTTATTTTGTCCAAGAGTACTTCCATCTTCCCTCTTCTCCTGCCCCTTAATTACCTATTGGCTGCTCAGATCCAGTTCCTCCTCTTAGTGCAGGGAACTTTCTGTTTATCCTCAGGAAAAAGCTGTGCCTTGCCACCCATGTCAGATTCCTTCAGCTGTGTCTGGAGGCAGAGCTTTTGCTATCTTGTTTTGTTCCTGACTGTGGCCCTGTTGTCTGGCAGAGTGTTGGTCCTGTATGTGGCTTGTTGCATATTCCCTGAAGGAACAAATCAGGCACTGATAAAAAGCACCAGTGTATGTGAAGCACTGGTGTATGTGAAGATCCTACAGGACTGGTTTTCAGCTGGAGAAACTGATAGCAGGTGGGGGAGATGACATGATTCTGATAAAGAAAGTCATACTTGCTGGGTGGTGGTGGCACACACCTTTAATCCCAGCACCCGGAAGGCAGAGGCAGGCAGATCTCTGTGAGTCTGAGGCCAACCTGGTCTAGTTTCAGGAGAGGCTCCAAAACTTTGTCTTGAAAAACCAAAGTGGGGGGGGAGTGTTACTTTGAATATTCTCCAAGG